CATTCCTTCGCGGTTCAAGGTCTTTTCGCCAACTTCGGGCCTGTAGTTCTTCGTCGCGTGGAGAAGCTGCTGTGGGTTGAGTCGAGTGAACTGTTGCGTTGTGGACTGTAGCGCACTAGGATCTTCACCTAGGGAGGTAAAGCATTGTAGCCATTGGAGTAGTTGGATGACTGGTACCAAATGTCGTCGCGCAGCCTCGATTGTATTCTCGCCGCTTGTTGTCAGTGAGCCGGATTCGTAGTGTTCGGGCTGTCTGTTATTCGTCCGTGCCCAGTCTTCAAGTGTGGAGACATTGAGACGGATCTGCATCGCTTTTGTTCGGGCAAGGTATTTACGGTTCGACATGATGCGATTGAAAAGCTCTGCACCAAGCCAATAAAACAATTGGCTCAGGACTTGAGAAATGATCACTGAGTGAATGTCATACAAGTCCAATACGAATAATGTCGACGAGAGTAAAGATGTTATATTTCTCGGACTTGGTTTTGCGCGCTGTTTTGGGGAAGGCGGACGGAACCGCCGTTCTCCTGCTGGCTCGGGCGATTTTTTTTTAGTCTTGAATAACCGCCATTCGTTCTGAAAATGAACGTCTTCAAACCCAGGAATGGTTTCGTGGTCAAGCATGGCTTGGTCGAGGACCCTGTCCATCCTCCGCTCGGCATCCCGAATGATGAGGATAAAAATCTCGTTTATCAGCTCCGAAAGGTTTTGTTGAAAGTTTATTGTTGCGCCTACGAGACCGGCATCTTTCTTGAGATAGTGAAGGAGTAGGGTTGCATTGGAGATCCAAAATGCAAGGATCGTCATATCCCATTGATGCCGCTCCACTACGTTATTGATCTTCTCCATTGCCGAGAGAAGTAGTCGGGAAAGAAGCTCCTGAGAACTATGATAATGGGCATACCGGGCGGCCAGGAAAAGTACATTCGCAGGTACTGGCTTCTGACTGGGTGATCGCTGCGGTAGCATATTGGTGATCACAACCTCAAGCACTCGATCTAGCTCATGCTCTTGAAACACAAACATTTGATCATTCAAACATCTATCCCACACGAATTCCTGCCCTTCTTCTTCTTCCTCTGACTCGGGTAGCTGCTATAAGTCAGCAAGCACACCCCCGGCGTATATTCGGATATCCGCACTCACCTCCTGTTGCTCATCCAGTCCCAAACTCGATAAATCTACCTCTAGATTTATGGCACTCTCCATCATCATCCGCCTCTTGAGCTCATTCTCCGCCATCTCCTCTTCAAACCTGTCCTGCGCCAAGCCTGTGTCGTAGAAATCGTCACTGACCCCCGCCGAGCCAATATACCCGCTCTCGTGCAAGTAATCCGAAAGTTCGCTATTTGGCGGCATGAAATCAAACGCCGTTCTTCCCGAAGAGCTCTTAATCTCACCCGATGCTCCATGGTCTAACAGCAGCTTTGCAATACCCTTATGGCGATTCGTCATGGCCCACATCAGCGAGCTCCACTGGTGCCTATCCTGTTGGTCTACATTTGCACCAGCGTCCAACAGCGCAGAGACAACATCTTCATGTCCCTATCGCAAATTCCACCTCGAATTCAGCCAAGATACCCCCCGCCGGCATTGCGTGGAAAACCATAAAAAAAAACATGACTTACGAAGCAGCTCGCATATATCAGTGGGCTAGTCCCCTCCTCATCCGGTGCATTAACATCGATGTATTTTCTCCCCTTGCCCTCTAGTATTCTCCTGCATTTTCCCTCGTCTCCGTTGCTGGCCGCCATGTTGAGCGCACGTTGTAAATGATCCGTCTTCTCCTTGTCCGACAACTTCGGATTATCGGCAATCTCATCCTCATCTTCCAAGCCCGACCCATCATTGAAGGCAGCCTGGGCGGCCAGCATAGAGACAAGGCGTGTATCGCTATCCGCAATTCCCTTTACGTCATCGTCTTCATCGCGAAAGTCCGGATCGAGGTTGAAGTTTAACCTGGCAGGTACCGGCGCGGTGATGAATTGAGGCTCACCTGTAAACCGAAGATGGGGCATCATCGCTCCGTCAGTACTACTGGTCATCATGATATTCCTAGGTTTGCGTCTGGAGTCGCCGGGAGATGAAGAAGCAGAAGAAGCAGGGGGAGTAAAAGAGGAATAGAAATCATCTTGATCATAGGGATTATGATAGTGCTGGGGTGGGAGGTAGAAGTCCCTAGAGTATGGGGAGGGTTTCGAATCGGAGGGTGCCATACCACCTTGCCAGGCGTCGTAGACTTCGGTCTCGGTAGTGAGAGGAGGCGTTCTTCGGCGGTCGTCTAATGACGTTGGGAGGTCCGCGGGGAGTACTCTGGGGACTTTTGGAGGAAGCTCAAAGCCGTTGAGCGGATCGCCTAAGTCCATTAGAGGGGATGGGGCGGGGGGAGAAGAGGGGATATAATAAAAAAAGACTGTGGTTGTTGGAGTGTGTCCTGTAATACGGGGCTGCGTATGCGTATGTCCTTCGTAAGATGATGTAGAAAGATGGCTGTGGCTGTGATTGTCAGTGTTTGCCTGATGGCTGGTGGTGGGGGGGTGAGGGGGGGTGAAGCAGTGGAGGGAGCTTCCTCGTAGGCCGGAGTAATGCTTTACTTACTTTTCTATGCAAGACCTATCAAGATTAGTACCTATCAGATATCAGATCCAAGGCTCATCAACTGTCTCTGGGGTATTCTGGAACGGATGGTGATGTTCCAATGGCATTGGCAAAGCTCCACGGTGCCAAGACTTATGCAGCTTCCAGATGGTTTACGAGGGGTAAAAGGAGCTCGGGGTTGTCCTCAACTCCAGAGAACATCCCTGGCCAGATGCCTCTTTCGGAGCGCATTACGAACACCATCCAGTCCATCGGGTCGGTGCGTTTGGAGTTTCGAGTTCAAACAACATTTTCTGGAGAGAACTGGGGTTTACAGCTATATAGGTCCTCCGTGGAACAATCAAACTGTGGACTTTAAAACAATATCTCTCTGCTTAAGGCCCTTAAATTTCCCTTTGTTCTGTGGTTTGATCGAGCGGAACGCCTACCATCCTTTGCACATAGAATGTAGCAAGAAATAAACACAGGAGGGACCGGCTCGATACATGTAGATAGAGTACAATATATCGATCTGTATTTAAATATTTCCTTTTTCACGAACCCCGAGGATTCATCCGGATCTCATCTGCGCGTTTCCGTACCGCGATGACGCAAGGAACTTTATGCGAGACGCCAAGGGTCAAAGACAACGGTGCTACAATGCTATGATCAAGATCCATCCTCTCGATATACATTGTACTCGGGGTCGCTGATACCTTGTAGGTCATGAGGCGCCTCATACACCATAACCTTCACAAAAAATTCGGGATGAATGAACTTTAAACCGAGCATAATATAATGAGTGCCTAGGAACAGGGAAGAAATATATTCGACGGAATTTCGCTGTGTATGCGCATCCTTAACACAATCTATGATCAAAACAATGAATTCATCCTGTTTACACGATGATCGCGAAGAATTACATTAGTCGGTCCGATGAGTCTCCCAGAACCCAAGCATACACTAGATCGAGTGATGTTTCGTGATTGCTAGCCAGAAAAAGAGGCTAGCGGGCGAGAAGCGTAGCCTAAAGCTTAAGCTCACAACATATGGCTACATGTACGTACATCGCATCATCTGCGTGCAATCCCATCCAGGATACAGAGCTCCAACCTTCTCTTGCTGGATCAGTTGGTCTTTTTCTACTTTGTGTCGACTTCGTGGCCGAGCCAGCCCATCCAAGTATCATCGCAACCTACCGGCCGGTACTTACAGCCGAACTTTGATAGCCCCTCGCAAATAAAGATACATCGTTCCGTTCCCGAATTTCGCATGCCACGGGCTCCACTATGCTACGAAATAGGATGGTGCTACAACCATATCGGATTCCCCTAGATTGGCGAGTTCTAGTAGATCACATTCTGAGGCCTCTGACTTAAAACGGCGTTATATTTACGCGTGTCGCCAGATTTGTGATCTCGATTTTGTTACCGCGAGACAAATCATTATGTATCTGGTAGTAAGAGTTGCACGTCTTATTATAAAGTCTTCAAACTACTAATAGTTACATTGGTGTATGATACCAAGTGCACGGTTCCAAACCCTCCAATTTCTGACTTTGTCTTTATACTGACCCCTTTCTAGCTATTGTACCTATTATACATCGGGGATACAAGACCGCTGCTCTGTATCATTGATCATCAGCTGGTACAGTCGACAAATCATTGGGTGTTTCCAGACCCTGCCTCTTCAGGAGTTAGGATTTAGCCTACTTAAACCCAATTTCCCGCTTTCAACCATACCTCCAACGACTGGACAGTTACGCTGAGACGAAGTTTATAGCATGCTATCATCTCACGAGATACATAAACTACATGTACTCAACTGCTCCGTTTGGCACCCATATATTGCCAAACTGGGAACAGCTCCTAGCTTTTGAGAAGATAATAGATCCAAAGGGTCTCCCGCCCTCGATTTACCTTGCACGTGTACCCACGTCGTACAGCACTTACTATTGAATACGGCGTCTAATTAAAAGTTCCTCTCGGCTGTTGGTCAATGACCAAGCGCAGTGCAGTGATGTTGATTAACTAAGTGCTTTTTTTTATTTAAGCGACACCAATCCTCACTATCAAAGCAGCGGTGAGATCGAATGGTAGTACAAACCATGTGCCTTTTGGATTAATCATGGCGGCACAGATGCTGGTAGTAATACCACAATCAATCTACTTATTCAATATCAATTCCATTTTTGGTTAGTTGTTTACTATTAAGACTTGAGCGAACCCAAAGCAGATTTATCCTAACGACTCTTAGTTTAAAGGGGTTTAAGCATGAACTCAATCGAGAAGATGTGATACGGGGTCCGAGACATGAACATATAGTTATAAATTGACGACACTGGATTATGTGTCTAATATAGGGGCCTTGGTCTTTCTTCTCACATCTTTACTTCTATTCGAAGATTAGGACCGTCTATTACAATGGCTCATATATACCTAGCTACCGGTTTACTGACAACTCTTTCGCTCATATCAGGAGGGTGCGCTGCACCTGTGTCACTAAATATCGTTGGGCGCGATGTAGCACTTCTTGCAAACTACGACTATATTGTAGTCAGAGGCGGTACGAGTGGGCTTACTGTTGCTAACAGACTAACTAAAGATGCAGATAGTAAAACTCCCGAACCCCTATATCTGCGATATTCCAATGACAATAAGCTGACTGTGTAAAACAGAAACCGTCCTCGTCATTGAATCTGGAAACCTGTAAGTTGCAGTACACCATGTGATCATCAAGACGTTATCCCTCGTACTAAACCCTTAACTCCTACAGCGACGATCAAGAAGACGGCGTCCTGGTTCCCGGGCTCGCAGGTGGTACCGGGAAAAAATACATGTACAACATGACCTGCGAGCCCCAGCCTGGTATTAATAACCGCACCTACAGCTTTCTCGCTGCACACGTTGTTGGCGGCGGGACTGTTGTAAATGGTCAAGCTTTTGATAGAGGGTCAAGAGGTGACTATGATTTGTGGGAAGCTTTGGGAAATCCAGGGTGGGGATGGGAAGGGCCACTTCCGTACTTCAAGAAGGTATGACCTTCTTCTTCAGATTGGATTCAATTGAGGCGGGTCTATATATAAGATCGTATATATAATTAACTTATCCATTAGAGTGAGACCTTTACGCCCTCGCCGCCCGAGATTGTAAAGGAATGAGGGACGGAGTACGACCCTTCCGCCCATAGGTTCAAGGGACCGGTTATGTCTTCGATGCCAACATACTACTACCCTGCTATGAGTAAGTTCGAAACTCTTCACAATATAGGCCCTTTATGCAAAGGGCGTAATATAGCGATAACTGATATTACCCATCCTCTTTTTAAGAATTTGTTTTCAAAGCCTGGAAACAACTCGGCATACCATACTCCAGAGACGGTACAAACGGCAACGCACTTGGTGCTTTCTTCTTTTCCAACTCAGTCGACCCGGTCACCCGCACCCGGTCCTACGCTAGAACTGCGCACTATGAGTCTGTTAAGGGCCGCCCAAACCTCCATCTCTTGACCGGTCAAACTGTCACCAAATTGGTTATTGAGGGGAAAAAAAGCTTCTGCTGTTAAGGTATTATGAGATATTGGCCTGTGTATTGAGTACTGAAAACTGAATATATGAGTAGTTTGCGTCCTCGCCAACCGCTTCAACCACAACTGTATCAGCGAAGAAAGAGATAATTCTTGCCGCAGGGTCAGGACATACTCCGCAGATTCTACAGCTATCTGGTATCGGACCTAAGGCGCTTTTGAAGAGTCTCGGGATTCCGATAGTGGTTGATCTGCCGGGAGTGGGGGCGAACTTCCAGGATCATCCGTCGTATTATACTGCTGGATTATGTAGGTGACGGCTGTTTAATTGAACCTGAAGCTAGAAAATTTACTGATGCTACTTGCGTAGTCACGAATGATATGAACCCGAGCCCGGCTAATATGTCAAACGCTACTTACGCGGCGGAGATGCTGGCCTTGTATAAATATAATCGCACAGGTAAGTCTTTCCCGATTCAAATGCCGGGGAAGTGTTGTTGTTACATAGAGACTCCCGAAACCCTTTCATCTTCGTGGATCACAGTCACTCACTCGTTCCATAGGGCCATACTCCAACGGCTTCGGCACAGCGGGCGCCTTCCTGACCCTACCGGACATTACCAACAAAACCCGAGTGTCATCCCTCCTCAACCTCATCCGACAGCAGGATCCCTCCGCCCACCTCCCAGCCAACACCGACGCAACCGTCATCGCCGGCTACAAGTTCCAGCGCACCCTCCTCACCACCTTCATGGCCGCCGGCCGCGTCGCCGTCAGCGAAAACGCCTTCGGCGCCCTCCCCAGCATGCTCAACGCGCTCCAAAAACCTTTTAGCCGCGGCTCCATCTTCATAAACTCTACCGACCCCTTCGCCAACCCCGTCGCCGACTACCGCGTCTTCTCCAACCCCTCCGACGTCGAGATCTTCGTCGACATGATCAAGAACTTCCGCCGCGTCGTAGGCATGCCAGCACTCAAAGAGCTCGGCCCGATCATAACGAACCCGGACCCGGCGACAGTGAAGTCGGACGAGGATATCAGGGCGGCGGTGAGGGCGAATGTGGTGCCGACGTTGGCGCACCCTAGCTGCACGTGCGCGATGATGAGGAGGGAGCATGGCGGCGTTGTGGATGCGCAGTTGAGGGTCTACGGCGTGAAGGGGTTGAGTATTGTGGATGCGAGTGTGATGCCGTTGATTCCGGCGACGCATTTGTCGAGTATGGTGTATGCGGTTGCAGAGAAGGCGGCGGATATAATAAAGGCCAGGGCGTAGGGCTGGGTCTTGTAATGGATGGATGTATTTTGGTAGTTAATACAGAAGTATATAATTGTGGTTGATACGCTATACAATCATGAGGACCATGATATGAGCAAAAATTGAACTTCTAAAGGGGGTTAACTCATGTAGGGGAGGGACGGCAGGCCAGATGAACCGGATTGTAATCATGATATATCACTCGATAACGCGCCCACAAACTGAGCACCTAAAGAGATTCAGACTGCTGGCCGGTCGAGTGATCATTCATGACCACAACTACCCGTCACTACGACGAGTACTCAATGGCCCCCGTGATTCGCATGACGCCCATAATATAACCCCTAAGAAAGAACGACAACAAACCAAAAAAACAACTTCAGAAGACCACCAGAATACAATAACCCTAACCCCGATTTTAGACACAAGCGCAGCAAAAGAAGGAGCGCTCTCGCTTCTACCTCTTCTTACCCAGTCACACAGTCTTTCGACCAAGCCTGGGAGGGACTCGAACCACCTCTGGTGATGCGAGTTAGACCTCGGCCCCTCTGGGCGACACCATAACTATTAAGCTACAATGGCAGATGACGGAATGGGGTTTGTTCAAGGTTCCTATGGCATTTAGCGGGTATGTATGCGTGGTGATCACGCGAGCAAGTATGCCGCCAGAGGCTTGTGTTACTACGACTACCAGTATGGTTAGATGCCGTCATAAGCTGTACAACGTACGCAGCAGGTAGAACCTTATTTGAGTGCCTGGAAACGCTGTTTAGAGGAGACAGGAGTTGGTAGTTTCATGAAACTCAACGAGATTGGAGCGAGTGATTGGGTGTGATACACCTCCATCTCCAGTGATGGGCAAGATTGATTGGTTGGTTCACTCATTTAATATGTGAGGATTGATTGATTGATTACTTCATTAATTGTATTTAATATGCGAGGATAGTATGCAAGCTTAAGAGGAAAGTTGCACCAAGACGAAATCTCAAGACTTGCGGGAAAACAACAAAAGACTGGACGGCGAGCGAGAAAAGACGTCTAAAACGCAGGTTAAGAAAAGACGGGGCGAAACCGTCTCCGTAAATCAAGCCCCACATCAACGACCCAATAAAAAAAAGGGTTTCCAGCCCCCATGTCCCAGCGCAGCAAAAGGAGGAGCTCTCTCGATTCTACCCCTTTTTACCCAGTCACACAGTTTTTCAACCAAGCCTGGGAGGGGCTCGAACCACCGCTGGTGATACGAGTTAAACCTCGGCCCCTCTGGGTGACACCATAGCAATGGCAGATGGTGGTATGAGGCTAGTTCAATGGTCTCATGACCTACATGTACTTTCCGTGCCAGAGCTAGGGAGGGGATGTACGTCTTATGTGTGGTCGACAAGGGTAGAAATCGTTCTTTGTACTACACGACTTGTGACGGACCTGGACCGGAGCTTTGGCCAGGCTGCCGATGCTGTGATACTACATAAATTTTCTAAGGCAGACGAGCTAAAAAGAATATCATCATGCCTTAAAGTCAAACGCCAGCATTATATATCTAAAACGTTGGTTTTAAACAACCCTTTCGGAATACAATGTATTATTAAAGCCTTATTTGAGTCTTATAACATACTTAAGTACATTATAGGACTTATCGGAGGCTTATGTTGAAAAACAGCTTATGTATCCTCTAAAGGTCACGCAAGGTTTAGACAAGGCTTACGTGGTTCTACGACGACTTTAAGCCATCTACATTGAAACTCCAATTCTTGGCCTATCGTCAAAGCTTCAAATTTTCTTTTGTCGTTAGATTATCTATAATTTACACCATAATATACAACTGGCGGACCAGCATACATACCCGAGTACACCGCTCCCCCCTCGAGCTCGAGTGTATGACCCACAAGGCATACACGCTGGTTATTTTACACCTGAAATAGCGGCTCCTTACGTTCCTTCTTACTACTTGCGCCTTGGGTCGCAGTGAAGCCAGATCCTCCGGGGGTGACGAGGATCGGGGGTGACGAAAGGCTGGGTACGAGTGATTATATATGATGCACGCCCCACCTCCGGCCCTCCACCTCTCATGATTTTTGAGTACTTACTTCATATATATAGCAGCCCCATGCTTATAATATTTAATTTCATAGCTTTATCCAGCCTTAGATTACTACTACAAGTAGCAATGTAGTCAGGCCGCCAGTGCTATACATGTACTAGCATACGCACATATAAAATAACTTTACTTATCATGATGAACTAAAGAAACGAACGTACTAATGTACTATGAGTTTATGTATGGAGGGTATACTATACACCGTATCAGTCAGTGAGGTTAGACAGCCGGGCTTTGCGAAACTTTCTATACATGGGCTTTAGCACAAACAGAAGGACCTAGCTCCTATGATCTCTGATCTCTACATAGAATTTGATACAAGCCGGTACGTATTTGAAGTTCCCTTTTCTAGCCGTTCCAGACCTCATCACTCTTCCAGGAATTGCCTAGCGAAACGAGGTCTACTTTTGGGACTTTCCGGATGCGTACACCATATATGTAGTTTATATACACGCAGGGTAGCACATATATAATACATGCTTACTATAAACATATCAACAAAGTCTCCTCACTTCTCGTCCTCTCTGCTAAATCATAGACATCTCACGTACAACAACGCGAATTGCCTACTCAGCTAAACCAACCCTCAGATTGAAGAGAAATCTCTCAATGAGTGAGTTTCATGGGCCGACCAAACCCACTTAACCCTTGAACTCGCTCGGAGTAATCCCTACCATCCACTAAACGGGGCCAGCTTGAACCTAAAGCTACATATCTCCGCAAGAAGAAGTGAGTAATGTGGACTGTGTTATACGGCGAGATCCAAGCCAGCAGAGAACCTCATGGCTGTTATTCGCTGTCCTTCTTCACTCACTGCATTTAGCAAAAGAATATCTTGTATTCCCGATCATTGACCTGTTGTTGTAGTCCACATCACCATCACCACCAGTAGTATCAATGTCTCCGGCGGCTATGAAAGCCTTAGTCCCCAATGAGCCGAGCTAGCTTAAACGTATCGTCCAGAACGACATAAGCCGCCGGCCCTTGAACTAAACAACACAGAGCCAGGACTAGAAGCTAGCAGCACGGCCCCTCATGCATGGTACGTACACCCTCATCACCCAGACCAGAACATTAGCCGCTGCTCCAAAGTCCTGAGTTTCAATGACCAAAAAAGAAAATCTCACTGGGCCCTCGTGTCTTCGATGGTACTAATATGTTCTCATGGATCTTCGGATGTCTGATTTTGTCACTGCTGTAATGCCGGAGGGAAGGGGTGCATGGGCTTTCATTGTCCCCGTGTTCCGCAATGCGATCAATGCATGGTGAATTCACCCCTGGAGAAAAGCTAGCATCTGGACTTAGTCTCATGGATTCCCACATTCTAGAAAGACCACTACTCGTGTCACAGGCGAGGTGGTTACCTGGTGAGAATAAGTACGTCGAGGATCTTCCACCTGGTTGGCCTCGAGCGGCGCCATGAAGCATATAAGTGCTCACGGACTTGCGACTTCTTTTTCTTGTCTCTCCCGGCGGCTTAAGTCTATACGCAATTACATGCAGCTCTGTGTACATGTTTTATACTGATAGGAAGGAAGCATAACCACGCCGTGCGAAGAGGAGAAGAAGGAGTAGAAGGCGGAGCAGCACATACAGACCTGAGAGCATGGGCATGTTGGATTCTAGGGCATGCAGTATTAGAGCACGAGATGGTAGGGAGGTGCTCGGGGATTCTAGATCTGGCGATGGAAAGCTCTGCGTCTAAAACTTCTCGAGCTCTGCTTTAGCAGGACGGACTGCCAGCTATCAAGATGCAGGAGGGATAAGAAAATATGGGTTCCACCAGAAGACGGTCCGGATGCTCGGTATATATAAATAAAGGAAAGAGTCCAAGGTCTCAAACAGTCTACAAGTACAAAAGTGCCGCTGACTACATGTGCCATGCTCACTCGGTGTATTAGTGACGCGAGTGATATCCTATGATTACAATTCCAGATACGGACAGAACTTTTATTTTACATGCTGCCGATTCCGGAAGATGAACTGCATGAATCAATGTATGCATGTTTCACTAAGGCTTAAAATAAAGAAACTCCGATTAAGTGTCGGATTAATGTACTCAACTGTGATTGAGACAAGTGTAAAAAAAGCAAACACTCTATTCTAAGATCTAGAGTAATCCTAAACCAGACTACTGATATCTCATGTCGTACTCACTTATTTCTGGGCCCAGAATTATCCTCCACGTCTTCTACACCATTATTATTAGCTTCCTCGCCACCACCGCCGCCATTTCTCTCATACTCCTCATCATCAAATTCCTCATCAGCAGGTTCCACCTCCAATGGCCTCATCGCAGCTCTCTTCCAGAACTTCAGAGTATTCTGCCCCACCAAAGTTCTACCCCCCGGCTCCGGTGTCGCAGCCCTAACCAGCGCCTTATGAAACTCCCGCGCTTCATGCTCCAGCCCAAGCACCCTGAGACACCTGATGATCCTCGTAATTCTGAGATGATTATGGTTGAAGCGGCACAACCAGAACCTCGCTTTACGCCGAAAGTCGATTCCTGACGCTTCCCTGATCTCGAACCCGCAGGCGGCGGTGGTGATCGCCTCAAACCCATAAAATTCCAACATGCGCACTAGACTCTCCCGCATTCGCTCACGGAGCTCGAGGCGTGTTCGGAAGGCCTCTGCAGTGTGTCTGTCGATGCGTGGGGCGCTTATGTTGAAGGGGGAGGCTTCGGGTAGCGGAAAGAGCCATTGGATGTAGTCGTGGTGGTACTCTAGATCGCGGTCAGGGAAGCGAAGGATCTCAGATAGAGTGCGGTCCTCCGAGTCGGTGCCGCCATTGGGGCGCGTGTAAAAGCTTATCAGCCGGTTGGTGGTGGTGGGGATAGTTAGGGTCTTCGGAGGAGGTCCGTTGGGCCCCGAGTCAGCTCCAACTTGAGCAGCAGCACCACCTTCTTGGCATTGATCTTCTTCTGAGTTGGCACCACTTCTTGTACCTCCCTCAGCAGCAGCAGGAGCGGAATGATTTTTGTTGTTGCTTGTTGAAGATAAGTTGATGGCTGCTGCGGTTGAAGCTCCGTTTGTTGGGGCTACAGGTGTTAGGCTGGCGAGGAAGCTTTTTGGAGGGTCAGCTCTTTTAGCTGATAATTTGCTCATAGCGATACGACTGACTTTTGATGTCATTATGGAGGGGGGTATGATATAACAATTGAGGTAACGGATGAAAAATTGATGACCAGGAGATGGATCGAATGGGGAATCCCTTGCAGCAATGGAGCTTGAGCTTGGTGAAGGTGAAGCTTTGACCAGGATTCAAGGAGCACAGACACGTCTGGGGCTAGGGTTGACTTTGCAGATCACGTGCATGCATTGCAGTGACAAGACCCTTGGGTCTCCAACCGCACCTCGATTACAACAACCGCCCAACTTGGGAACAAGAGTTAAGTACATGTATTGTAAGTATTTATATTTCTTGGCACTCTCCCGTTTGTACCAGTTTATCCAAATACTTACATACCGAGAAATAAATTCTCCTATCTACTGTATCAGTCAAACCCCCGGGTCGGACTTTTTGCACCTACGAAAAAGGGGGTTGAAGGGGGGAGGGGGGAGGGGGGAGGGGAGGCCAAGTCCCAGTTTCCCAGGTTCACTGCAATCCTAGTCAAAACACCCTATGTATCATCTCCCTTCGCTTGCTCTCCCGTCCGTCAGTTCATCTTACGGTCCATGCGTCGTCGTCGTTTCGACCACCGCCGGCTACTGCAATCCCGCACCCTCCCCCCCCCCACCTCTCTCTCCCCCTCTCCTAGTCTGCCAGCCAACGGCTCCACGGTTCACAGCATTTCAAAATGTACCTATGTCCTTAGCTGCAGTGCAAGTAAGAGGGAACTACAGATTCCGGTAGGGTTATTTCGAAAGTGGGTTCTCCGTGACCCGATAGTCCTATTGGCCCTTAAGAATTTTTTGCTACGAGCACAGACCAACAAAATCCACTCTTTTAGCTCTGACTTTCGCAATAATTCTACCGGAAACTGTACACAAAACGAAGTTACCACGCATGTGTAGAGCAGGGCATATTCACGGTACCGACCGTTATCAAGCATGGATACATGTATGTAATAGTCAAAAAAAAACGACACCAGAGGCCGGGTAATCAAGCCGGAAATAACGTGATGATCCGTGACAAGGATCTCCACAGCGCGCGCGCGGCTGAAAATAAATAAATTTCCCCAATACCAGTCCGTGTGCCAAGTATGTAGTCGTTGACAGCAAAAAATAGGGCAGAGTAACTTAGGTACAACCACCCCCCCCTTCCCCCCGCTCATAAAGCAATATCCCTTCAATCTCATCGTCATGAAACAATTGTACTTCCTAGTCCAGTATATATAGCATAGGCTACATGCCTCTAGCCCAAGGCAGAACAAATTGCAAAGTAGTGACAGACAGAATAGGTAAGGGGAAAGAGCTCGTTCCCGCGAGATTCGAACGCAATTGGAAATTAGAGGGATCTTTTGCCTGCATGCAGCATACAAGTACTCTACCTTTACTCTAGAGTAATCTAGAGTAAATATGGTACATGTACATGTACATGTATGTACCTAGGTAACGCAGAGTACAGAGTAGGTACATATGTGCGTTGTGTAGAGGGTAGAGTAGAGCGAAAGGAGGAGAAGGTACCTTCATGGACCTGTGTCACACAGCCGGCGCCGCACTTGAACATTTTCATCCTTCTGTTGAACTTCCACTTCCACTTCCACTTCCTTCTCAAGCACCCCTGCGCTGCAGTGCAGCTAGCAGCGCAGTAAGGATAGGACCAAATCTCTCACTCGAGAATCTTCCACCCAAAGTACCTACGCTACCTGGCCCTTATATATTCCCTACGCTACCCAGGAGCAGAGTAAGCAGCTAGCAGCTAGCCAGTCGGTACGGGCACCCCCGGGGGTAACATCATCGCATGGGATCGGAATCGATGGCCAATGATTCGTGCTGACCGACACCGAAAGCTCTCGCGAGCGGAATTGTATGCCGTCTGAGGGATCATTGTACGACATGTAGGTACATGAGTGGAAATGTAGCACGTATCGGGCGTAAGTACCCTACTCTGTCCAATCCACGGTCCGAGTATAGATAGAAACCTTAGCAACAAATCCAGATTGCCTCATCAGGATAGTCGTATGGAATTAGATACCACGATGCTGCACAGTGTAGGCGAATCCAGGGATGATCCTCTCCCAAGGTTGCCTTTATCGGTACTGTCACGAAAAGAGACAGAATCTCAGTTAGCCAAGGTTGAAATAAAAAGCAATCATATAGAGAAGATCTTTTCCTTCCCCTGGACGACTTCTCAACCGACATAATTTTTACTCTCCGGGACACGCAAAACAAACTTCATTGACGAACTGCTTGTCCGAATCTGGCTCTACACCGACTCGACCGCCGAGCTCTAGTGCAAACTACACGTGAATACGCGTAGTCAATCTCACCTCTCCCGGATTTTGAAAAAAAAACCTCTCTTCCATCATAAAACAAAAACAAACTATTTGGAATTAGTTGTGCATGTATGAGTAAACATGCAATTCTGCGGCGGCGGGTTGTCCTACGGTAAATAAACATGTTGAAAAAATATTCCCGGCACGTGTCTGTAATCTGTAGAGTGTCAATGACCGAAAAACCCAGAATTCTCCCCACACAAAAAAGAACGAGGTTTTTTTTTTTTTTTTTTGTTTACGTCCCGCTCAGGCCATTTGATACTTCCTATAAACGATGAATATACATATATAATTTGTTTTTTCAACGACGCCATAAATCCGGGCCAAACAAAGAACTCCCTCTCCAGGTTTCCGTTTTTCTCTACTCTTTCGACCCTATGTTTTTGCCCATGGTGGATGCAATATCATCCTGCACATGTTCCCCTAAAAAAATGCATCCGATATTGTATAAGAAATAGGAAAATGAAAATGAAAATGAATATAAAAAAAAAGGAAATTGGATATAAACGGGCGGAAAAAATGCAGGATCACACCAGGCAACAATGAACAGAACAGATAAAAGTAGACTCAACCCTCCCATACCTATTCATTACCATTGGTAGCTTCGGGCAATTGTCCCATAGCCAACAAGGAGACAGGAAGGGGAGGCCAAATGAAAGAGATGGGTGTAAGCAAACAACCAAAATACGCAGGGGAAAAAGAAGTCTCCCCCAAACCCTAATACCCTAAATATATAAACAGAAGAATTGAAAGTACTTATGAAATGAATAACAATATTGTTACAGAAAAGGAGAATGCAAACCCAACGAAAGTAAGAGGCAATCTATGTGCCAAGAAAGAAAAACCCCAGTCCGAGCTGTAACGATACAATCTTTGTCAGGAAAGCTTCATCACTTCATCAATATAGCCGATGCAATGGAATATAAAAAGAAAATGTTAAAAAATAGAGTCTGCTCTCTCAACCCCGCCCATTCCCGCTTTTGCTGTCCCTACCGCCGTCTGAGGATGGAGGTGGGGGGTGGGGAGGGGGATATGTGGCTCCGAAGCCGGGACCGGGACCGGCCGAGTATGGCCTCCCTTGTGGCTGAGGAGGCACTGACTGTGGCCGTTGCTGGTCCTGCCTCTGTTGTTCGTGTCCCCGCTGCTCCTGCCTTTGTTGCTCCTGCCTCTGCTGCTCCTGCCTCTGCTGATCATGCCTCTGTTGGTCATCTTGCCTTTGTTGCTCTTGTCGTAAATGCTCTTGTTCACGTGGGTGGTGAGGTCCCCCATTTCCCCCACTGACACCGTCGCCTGCCGATGACACCGGAGGCAGCTGTGGCCCTGATTCGGGTAGTGGCGATCCTCCGATTGATCGCCGGTGACGCGTTGTAGCCGACCTGTTGTAGGGCTCATATCCTCTTCCGGTGGATCCTACTGTCTCACTCCGATGTCTTGAGTGCCCGCGCCGTGTCCGACTAGGTGTAGTCGCCGCAGACAAAGGAGTTTGGTGAAATGAGGGTGGAGAAAAAGGTGTTGAAGGTGTTTGCTGTTGTGAAGATGGGGCATTTCCATGTTTTCGCTTTTTAGGGGAGCTCGCGTAGTCAGACCCAGTAAGTTGATTCGAAGGTGGTTGGTGAGCAAATGGGGATTGCAATTGTGTTTGTGGCGAAGACGTTTTGACTGGTGTTGTCATGCTACTAGCTTGACTGTTTGGTGGAACATAGTGGTGAAAGAATATAGCAGACTCTTGTTGTTGAGCTGGTTGAGTTGCTTGGGGGGGGTGTCCCTGTGCCACTGTCTGCATTGGACCATGGGGGGCACCAATTGGGGTGCCAATGATCTGCCCTGGAAGTAGAGGAGGCTGTTGAGAATGAGGATGCATGTCTTTAGTGTTGATCTGCGGTGGTCGCGGCGGTTGCTGCGCTGGGCCATTTCTTGGAGGCAAATAGGAAGTAGTATAGCTCGCCGGCGGAGCACCCTGCGGCTGCATTCCTGCTCCTAGAGGCGGGCCCATATGTGGTTGTACAGGCGGGAAAGAATCTGCTATTGTACGTGTTTCCCTCCGTATTTTGCGATCAGGACCTGGTGAATGAATCTGTGGCATGGGATGGACTTGCTGCTGTTGAGGCTGCTGTTGCTGCTGCTGCTGGGCCATCTGATGCTGCTGTTGAAGTTGGCCCATCATTTGAGCACAATGTTCATTAAACCATTCTCCAACAACGCCCTTGAGAGCACTTCCGGCGAACATGATCGGTATCATCTGTGGCGGTATTCCCATCTGATGAGCCTCCCTCAAAAACTCCAACTCCAGCTTCTTGAAATCCACTCGAGATTGTTCCTGTTTCGTCCGCTCTTCTTCTGCCTTCCGTCGGTCCTCCTCGATTTTTAACTGGATCTCGGGGTTCTGCCATTGGTGGGGCATATTTTCAAGTATATTCGAAGCCTGCTGAGTAGGTAATGGAATCATGGCCGCTGGTAGCGGCAGTCGATGTGAGGTCATAGAAAAGATAACAACTGGGCCCTCCGGTGAGCTTTTGGATGCCAGTGTGGCCGCTACGAAAGGTGTTTTTTTGAAGAGAAGCGGATTCGAAAACTACCACTGGAAGTCCGAAGCATCGACAACAGCCGGGTTACCTAGACATCGCAAAGGTGAAAAAATGAGGTTAGCGTCACAGAAGTACATGTAGTTGCTGGTGCCTCGAACTAGGCTTGCGAGCTTGTGGTAGGCGGACGTAATATGCCAGTTTGGGGGGGGGGGGGGGGGGCAGGGACCCACTTTGAGGGGGGTGCAGATTCTAAAATGGAATCGGAAAGAGCTGAACTTTATGAACGGTAAAACAAAAAAAAAAAAGAAACACACGCCATACACAGGTACAGATAGAGAATGATAATCATACAAGGTGGTGGTGGATAGATACAGGTATGGGCATACACTCTCTCATACACTCACATAAACACACTTTCAGCACTCACAGGGAAATAATGATATATGGGCGGTGAGCATGCACCGAGAGGGGATGTTGGCGGGAAGCAGCAACACCTTTCAGTAACAAGAAGTAGCTGGTAACGGAGGTGGCAGTAGTAGCAGTACTAGTAGTACTGTAGCAGTGGTAGTGGTGGTGGCAGTAGTAGTAATAGTGTGGCAGTAGGAACGGTAATGGCAGAAATAGTGTTTGTGGCGGGGAAAGGCTTCAGGCGAACGCGCGAGTTTCCAGCCGCAATCTGGTACTGTATTCTACGCACGCATACAAAGTAGGTCGCAGAAGAAGCAGAAACAGGTATCTAATGCGCGTACGTCTGTCCGTAGGGGAAGGACCAGGAGCTCTGGCTACACCCTCACGAAACACGAAGGGCAGAAAATACCAACCTTGAACTGCAGTGGGGGTAGCGGCTGCAAACGGGACAGGCGTATCGTTGATGTTGCTAGCTGAGGACACGCAGTATGTATAGCTATGCCAGCAGGTCCAGACGACCTGGAGAAATCGTTTCGTCGTTCTTGTGGTTGAATTGATTGCTGACTGCGATAACGTTGATGAAGAGGGATTCACTGCCCACTTCACCACTTCCTGCGAAATAAAAAAAGATACCAGCGATAATTCTCAAGTGAAAGCGACTGGAAATAAAAGAATGATGTGGGGGGGGGGTATTGGAAACTAGAAAAACCCCTCCCCAAGATTCGAAGATAAAAAAAAAAAAAAAAAAAAAAAAGACGGAGAAAATAAAACCTCGTGAATTGAAAGAGTGACTCTGGACGGAGAAGTGAAGGAGAGAAGAGAACAAACACCCAGAACCCACAAGTAGAGCCGCTGCTAATTTCTCAAAGAAGGCAGAAAAAATATACTAGAGAAAATTAAGGAGATTTTTTTTTTTTTGGAAGACTCAAAGAAGCGTGGCCTGCGCGTGGAAGGAGCGTGGATAGAGTGGTGGTCGTTTGCTGCGACAAAAAAGCAAATCCACGGCTGGCGGTGCACCTTGGTTGGCGTAGCACGGATGCACACTCTCTCTCTCTTTTCGGTCTGAGACAATCGTTTTTCACGGCGCACCTACTTTTTGCTAATAGCAGCCTCACCGGGCCGCTAAGCTCTCTTCGGGATAGTTGAGATCGGTGGATAAGCAAGCCAGTTTATCCTAACTCCCAACGAGCCAGCTCCACGATAGTGGGATCTGATACGATTTCTACTGTAAAGATTCTCCCAGTAGAATCGATGGGTCTCTTTAAACATCGCTACCGAATAAGGCGAACACCAAGTACCTAAAAACGACAGTGACTAATTGGGTGTCACGGTCCGAAGAAGTTGGAATAGAGTAGACGGCTCCTGCACGATGCGTGAACTTGAAACTCTTTGGGCAGCTTGTAATCTGAATACAGGATCGCGCCACGACGAGGGCTGAAAGAAACGAATTCCGGCACAAAGCGAAGTTTCACAGCAGGTTAAGATAGTGAGGCTGGTGTAGGGCTTGCCTTTATCGTGCTCCTTTATTTCTTTCTCCCTCTTCTTATTTGCCGATGACATCGAATTAGAGACAAGACACAGTCTAAGAGAATATACCAAGGACTACATATCTATCGCAGTTTACCCAATCCAGTCCACGTCAAAAGCCATGATGATGATAAGTGGCAAGAGAGACCGAGATCGATAAACGCCATAAGCCCAAGTGAGGACGAATGAGGCGCCTTAGCCCTACCGGGAACATGCGGAATAGAGCGCGAAGGCAAAGGCATGCACCGATATACATGAAGTATGTACCTACATGTATGTATTCTGAGTACTCTAGGTAAATAGAGGAATTGGGATATCTCTGGCTGCTTTGTGAGCCTCAATCTGCATACAGCAGCCTAGTTACTGGAACGAGGACAGATTGCACGAAAATAGGCATGCATCGGAGGACATAATCCGACAAGATTGCTAGGAGTGCTTCCCATACACTCGAATTTGATTTGATAAAGCTGTACCAGCTATCCAAGGTCACCTTTGACGTTTGAAGTAGCAAAAAGGCATAGCGGATTCCTCTTAATTTCCAGTTGGGGACTACTTCGCAGTAAACTACTAGGTTCCAGGGTCTGGGGATAAAACGTGTACCTACTTGCGAACATGCAACGAGTCAGCAAGGACCTATCGACTTCTCTTTCTCGGTTCAACTTGAAATCCCACCGACTTGCCATGGATCAAAAGGTCGGAACTAATTACCTATCTGGTGGGTGCTGTTTCATGTTTTCAGGGTTGCATCTAACGTCTATTCAATTTCTTGTTGAAGATCATGAGGGGTGCCCGACCCGAAACGACGGTTTTTGGCATCTATTGGCTACGCAAGTCAGCTCGAGCGATGAGGGGCCTGTTGACTGCTCTTTTGGGGCCGGAAACACGTGCTTTCTAGTGTTTGTCTTGACATACTTTTGTCCATCCTCGACTTTGTTTCCTGTTTACAGTGAATCACTTCTACCTCCTTGTGCAACCTGTCGCCCAAACTAGCCTATGTATGTCATTTTCCGACCAGGTTTCACACGTTCGTCGAATTTTGTCCGTTCCGAGCATCCCTGACGAAGATTGCAGGTAAGTAAGTACCCTCACAGTTTCTTACGGCTGCTTACCTTGGTTGCCATTTTTTTTTTCCTTTCTTCCTTGGTGGACCCGTCAAGCCTAACGCATTCTGAAGATAGATAGACGACCCCGAAAGAATGACCTGCTGTATCCCCTCGATTATATTTCATAGGCCATGAGTCCTGCTATATGGGGTCGTGGGGTGTGTTTTCTAATTCACTATAAAATTCTAAGTTTGAGCATACATAAGAAAGCTGATCCTATACCCCGCTTTGCGGTTTATTCACCGGTCCCGGACTAGGCTGGAATGCTTTTTGGCGCTATTATTGTTATTTTGGGACGAATACACCTCAGGGACAGGATTGTGTGTATGCACATTATCATGCAATATATGCTTGTGAATGTGTTAAACACGCCACTCTTTGCTTTTAACTAGTGGATAAGGAAGATCAAGTTATATCACCCGTATTCCGTACTGACATTTCCGAGTAGACGTAATGAGCGACCCGCACCAGCACTTGATCCCCAGTGAGGATTGTGGTTTTTAGAGTGCAATTTTTCAACTCCTTTAGCTCCGATTCACATTACATAAATCCAAGTTTGAATCACCAGGCGGGATTACTAAATTACCAAGCGTGCAGGTGAGACCATTGTGCATTCCATAGGATCTGAAATTGATATGCGTATGTGCGGAATTCCGATATTTCAACCCTAGCTAATACTCTCAAAGCTGTGAGCGGCAGTATATTTATTACCTGAAAGGCGGTTGGGATTACCCTGGCCCAGCCTGCGCCCCCGGACTGACAGGCAATGCGTGCCATCGGTGGCGAGTGATAATATATGATGGGCGCCCTTTGGTATTCTTCCCGTCCCAAACGATACCTAATAGAGTATATTACCTGAAGTGATAGCTTGACAGATAGCTAACTACCCCCCACCCCTCTGCCATTTGAAATATTTACCTTTTTGGAAACGCACCTCGTCCTTGCGTTCTTGGCATACATTTTTCGCGTCGATTCGTGGCGGTTCGATTAGAGCTGCGTCCCAGACCAAAGTTGCTTCAGAGTTGACCAATGGCTTACTAAAAGCTGCAACTAAAGGCCGCAGATTATAGTAGTCCAATGATAAACACCACAAGAGTCATGCTAAAAAATTACTCGGTAGACTCATGAAATCATTTCCTTTAAACAGCATTAATCTCATCCACTCTGCATACTAAGGCAAGATCAGCGGTGCCGCATTGCGCAGTTCACACATTCCATCTGCTCGGTTCCCCCACAAGTTTTATTCGTCCATCCCCGCTCCTTCAGGCGAACTCCGCGGCCGCTTGCAAAACGCCAACCCTAAAAGAGGTTATGCACTTGATGACTAATATTTAATAAAGGCTTTTGTACTGTACCAACCTTTCCCTTCGACTCAAATTTGCGCCCTCTGTGCAGCTAATCAAAATCATTATTCACCGCGGTTGAAATTGATAGGATAGGATATCATTCGGGAAAATCCTATGTTATCTCGGTAACGGGCTGTCCTTTATTGTGGTTTGATTTAGATTACTGGATTTGAGATGCCCTTTCAGACTTTGTCATTAATGTCACAAGTGTCGACAAGCGCGCGCGCCGTCAATGTGCAGCGCCGTTCCAGCGGTAAAGCCCCTCAATTAGTCTGAACCACTAAGTGGGGAATTGATTTCAGATCGTCTTCCGCCTTAGCCAAGGTTCAACTCAACGTCAAACGGCCAAAATCAAGGAGTATCGATCTACCACATGACCAGAGAGGGTCGAATGATCCAGAATAAGAAGATTTTGGTTTTTATAATTCGGCCATATTTCTGCTGCAGGAGCCACAAAAGCCACAAATTAATGTTGAACAAATATGGGCGAAT